TTTGTTTTATTTTTTTTTATTTATTTATTATTTTTCCCTATGTACAGCTTAGTTAATATTTACAAATATTTTCTACTAATATTGGGCTAGGGACCTACTAGAAACCTTAACAGGCTTTTTAATTTAGGCCCCTAGTTATAGTTCATTGTTATCTATTAATTAATATATTTACAGTAAAATCAGAAAAACAATTATCTTAGAGTGTATTATTTACAAAAGGAAGGAAAGAACTATAAAGCAAAATAATTACAGTACAAATATAAGTCATATATAAAGGCATATTGACACTAGTCTTTATCACTATATAATATGTAAGTAGAATGCATAATTTTGAATTATGAATCCTATTTCTAATTCAATAAATAATGTTGTTTAACTTGTTTTTTGAAAGCAGTGCAAGAGTTTATATCTTTGATATTCGATTCTAGTAAGTTCCATACATCAGCACCTTTATTAGAAAGAGTATGCTTTGCATAGTTTGTTCTTTTATATTGCTTGTAAAGTTTGGATGCGTTTCTCGTGTTATGCTGATGAATTTGATTATTACTCACAAAAACTTATCAAATTCTTCAGGTAGATTTTTAAGATCGTGATATCGAAACATGAACATGGCAGTTAAATAGTCATTAATTTTAAAGATATCTAAGATGTTTAATTCTTTAAAAATCGGCTCAGTGTGTTCCATTTGCGCTATATATATACAATTGAAATCTTAAATCTCAAGAAAGCCGTTTGTAAAGCTATTAGCTACATTGTTATCATAGTTAAAAATCTGCAATGTAATGACTTGAAAGCCGGAATATTTAAATCACATGCATGCACCATATCTATGGCATGCACCTTCAAAAAAATCATGAAAAGGTCACAAAAAATCACACGACAAAAATTTACAAAATCACAAAAAAAAAGAAACTCATAAAACAAAAAAAAATTAAATCATAAAAAAGCCTATAGAATTTTATGATCTGGTGCAATTTTTGTAGGAGTGTTTTTATCCTCGTTTCAAAATACACATATTATATTTCGAGTCCAGTCATATTGATTTTGTCGATGTGATTTTATGTTGTGGCTGGGCAGTGACGGTGTCAACTCCATGAAAATTTGGTGTTTTAGGAACGTCAGACCAATGCATGTTTTTGGCTGTTTTTCCAGGGGCAGAGTCAGTGTGATTGGAGAGGCAAGTTATGTCTGCTTTCTTTAAAATCGTGTGTGGCCACGAAATGAAATGAATCGTGTTAAACAGTACAGACAAAGCTAATTTTTGTTGTGTATATATAAATGGCAATCTGAGCGGATTATTTTAATACAGGAAATTGATCAAACCCTATATTGTTTTAATTGATATATAATGATGTCACCAATATATTAAGTAGCTACTCCTGGCCAATATTTAGATAATTAATAACAAAATTGTTCAGACAAATACACTATAACTATAAAAGGACTATGAATATGGAAAAGAACCTTGATAGCATCCAATACGACAAACTATGGCCTCGGAAACTTGAAATGCTTTTATAACTCACAAAACCATTGCGTACCCCTATAATATAGCGCCAGTATACCTGGTTTTATCTTAATCAGTTACTAAGTTCTTAAAATCAGAAAATTCGATCAAAATTCCGCAGAATGTTAGATACCCAAAGATGTTCAAGAGATATAAAACGCGATTGTCATGATCAAATGTAAGATATATCATCAAGACAATATATTATGCCATACAATTATACATGACATACGCCATTTCATGTTACGAGTTGTGCTACATGTAAAGCGTAAAGTGGTGGGGTGTGGAGTTCGTCCAAGCCCTATAAGAAAAGATACTGACATACGATTGCATGATTGACTGTGGCCACTATATCTGAAAAATATTTAGGGACAAAGAATTTTTTTCGCACTCTGTTTTCGTCTATAACGTAATGTCTCATCAATACAGTACAACCCACTTGCAATGTTTTACTAAAAAAACACACTGGATAGACCAAATAATGTTCCTTTGACTTCCATGTGTATTTGGTTTCTGCGACGCGCAGTTGCAAACCCGTGTATGTATATACAGTAGCATATACCAATGCATGCGCGCCATATGCTTGGCACGTTACTTTTTATTAAAAGGACGGAAACTATGTACATTCTTCGCGCTTTTTGCGTGCAATCATAAACATATCATGGTTTACACGAAAACATGTTTGCGTATCTAACATGCATGCACATGCGCACACTGTGTGTGCATGAGTGCACGATTAGGTGGTTATAGGATTATAATGTGCGCAACGTTTTGCTGAAATAAGGTAAAGTGGTAGTATCCAAGCTCTCATGAAGAAAAATGTGTTGATTTATAGTCTCGACTATACAGGCTATAGGCCATAAAACGAGTGCCGTAAAGGCTAACTGTCGTGACCCAACTAGTTAAACCTTGCTTGTTGACAGCATCTTTTGATATTAATTCAAATGCACACGCGCATTTTGATGAAGTCTGACTTATCGCAGTGTCAAAAGAAAAGCTGGTGGGACTTTATACAGTATCTTTATGTTGTATACAGTTATAAGCAATTCCTGTGTGTTTTTAGTTGTAGCTATTTGGGCTATATGGCTATGATGTCTGGCTGCTGCTTGTGCGTCAAATTTCCAAAACCAATTAAAAAGCGCATGTATTCATCTGGTATACATACATACATAGCATTCAACTGTCAGATAAACTTTGTAACGTCCTAAACTTAAGCGTATGGCGCCGAAATTTTCGTGCCTTCGATTCTAAAATAGCGATGGCTCATTAGTTCATCACAATAGGAGTAAACAAGTTACCGGTATTTCCAAGCTGTGTGAATCCAACTCACCCTTGGCCCTAATTGGCAGGCAAGTGTCAATACTGCTTTTGAATGCTGGAGGGTCAGTGTCGTACCTTACTATGTGACTACTCACCCTCGATCCAGCTATTCAAAAAACAGAATTGACACTCAAGAGAAGCTCAGATGAGCTTTTATTTTAGAATACAAGCGACAGACACTTCCATCAAAATACAGTATTAGAATGAGCTTTTATTTTAGAATACAAGCGACAGACACTTCCATCAAAATACAGTATTAGTAATTTACACAGTACAACATTCATGTAAATACTTTATAATACGTGAATCGCAGGTTAATGCACTTAAATCATCGCTTAAAGTATCGACTATTCATCTTTCCCTGCGTTATGTCGCATTTATTTTTTCAGACCGATGATGACGTTATGTATTGGGGTATTATAAGTATGGCTAACAGTGTAGTACTGATAATTGACGAATGTCAAATCATTGCTTATCCTTCTAAACATAAGTTGCCTTTGGGGCTACAAATTTATAGTCCCAAATAAGTTCCACTATTTGAGTTTGTTAAACAAAGAGTCCATTATATTATATATATTCTTGATTGACTAATGAAGGACTATTGCATGCGAACATAGAATAACTTATAATTGGATAAAGAGAACATAAATGAAGCCTCGTGTCGGGAACTTATTAGGTACTTTATTTCATTCATTCTCTTATCCCACGCAATTGTATTCGTTACAATTCAAATATAATTAGTACGTGCTTGGAATTTAATAATGACAATAATAGCAAAACATGTACTGATTTTATCAATGACATTGGCAATAGTAATGTCCGGAAAAGCCTTTAACAGCAGGAATATTGGCACCCCAGATTTATTTTGACAGCGCAAGAGCAGAATATAACAGCTTTGAAATGTATAAAACTAAGCAGATTAATATCTTATAGATAGAAATGGAATCACTTTATAAGAATGTTATTATGAACATAATGAATGTTATGTGAATAATGATTCATGATTGTTATTATTATCACTGAAATCTAATAGTCCTCAGACAATATTGCCTTCATAAACAATTTTTATTGTTACAACGACAATGACGCGCGAATCATGTTGATTAGTACGTTTACCGGAGTTAGAGGAATAATACACCTGAAAATTCTAAATGAAAGCAATATACAATTATACATGAACGTATAAATCCTTCTCCTGTTATGAATTATACCTACTATAAAAACTCATTGTATTTTTTGAGTAAGGGATGGATGGTTCTCAAGGGGCTAAATTAAGGCGACAAATTTGTAGCATGCAATGTTAGTATTGTGTTACATCACACCGCACAGATAGACAACTCTGCTCGAAGAAAGCTTGAAATTGATACAATGTCTGTCATGTTGCTCTATAAAGACAAGTCATACCCAAGTGAACAAAATGGTCTTGCCGTTGGTTGATAAATATAAGTGCCCGATTATACAATACCTTCTAACACTTATTTACAGCACTAAACGCTCAAATTATAGGACTAGAAGTACCTGCCTAAAAGTCCTTGTATATATTCTCGCAATCATAAGTGCCCTAAAACTGTAATTAGCCCTAAGGGACTAACCAACAAAGATTCATTAAAAGCTGTTAGAAAATAGGAAAGTTTAAGGTATAGCTTAATTTATACTGGTAACCTTGCTATAGGCTACTATAATGACAATAAAGGTAACCGTACGAGAGAAAATCTCTGGTCGTAAACATTTTTAGCAACTATCATACATCGTAAACATTTTTAGCAACGTAAACATTTTTAGCAACAATCCTTTATGAGCAATTCGCAAGCATAACAATTATTACAGTATTTTGCTGTTCCCGTTGAGAAACGTACGCTATTTCGCTCTGGCCTCACGCCAGGGATAGTGAGAAACGCCGTATGTAAAAAAATATGTCACACATGGCAGCCTTCAAGGATAAGCACGGGAACCAGATGACAAAGTTCGGTTACTGTCACAACTTGCTCAGTTAGCAAAGTGCACCAAATAATCCAAATATCATGGCAATCATGTTGCCATACCCTATATTCAAAGTGAGCACGCTTTGTAACATAAGCGTTGTTCGCGTTATTTTGACCTTATTCAAAAACAACAACGACAAATAAAACAATATAGTCAAATACACATAAATTGTATTTCACAGGTGACTTACTTGCCCAAACTCCTGAATATGTTATCCCAAATCCTAGAAACCAAACAAGAAGTCGGAGGTTCATGATTCTTTTTGCGCAAATTATTTAATGTCCTCTCCTGTTGATACGCTGTAGATTAATATATTGCGCGGCTGATTTGACCCAAAGCTGGCTATAGTGGCAATCCGCTTTCCGACTGTGCGCTTTCCGTGTGTCAGCCGATAAAATAACTACGGAGTTTTTAGCGCACTGATTAATGTGATGCTTATGAGACATCGTCTGTCAATACCCAACATGGCTTTCATCTGATCATCACAGTATTGCGTTGGCACCTCGCCGAGCACGTTTTGCGATTCTTTACTGACGTAATGCATTCCAAGCGATTATCAGTCATTCTTGGAGATCTTTGAGTTCCAGAAGTTGGTAATGTACGGGTCATGCCTTAGGTCACAGATTGAGAACGAGGATTTGGTTTGGTTAAAGATTTATACTTCACGCCAAAACATATTGCATGATTTACATGCTGTCAAGATGCACTCACTGTTATTTTTCTTCAGTTTGAGTTTAGTGAGATGCAGATCAAAATGTATTTTAATTAATTTCTAAAATGTTGAAATTTACGCGCATTATAACAGCTTCTGGCAGTGAATAATAAATGAATAAATAATAAATAATAATAATAAATAATAATAATAATAAATAATAATAATAATAATAATCATTATAATAATAATCATTATAATAATAATAATAAAATAATCCTACTACATTAATAACTAATTACTAGTATATACAAGGAAGTGAGTCTAGATTGTTGTAGTATGTTATAGTATCTGTTATAGTAAGAATTTATGGTAAAAGTATAAGCCTAAATTTTGGCACGAGAATTGTCTACTTCGAAGTCCGTTTCTTGAACGTTCGTTGTTATCCTCCTGGGCGCTCTAGTCCCTCTGAGACAAAGTAGGGCTGACCGCAAGATGGCAAAGGAGACCTTGGCTCTTATCCAGGACATGGTCGTAAAGTAGTCTTCGCCTTTCTTCGCTGCTATGAGCTCGGCCAATCTGCTATGATACCTCTTGCACTCTTCACTCATGCCTCCAGTCGTTGTAAATACTAATGGTGTAAACGTTCCGTGTTCTATCTCCATCACTCTTTGGGCATACATCCTCTTTTTCTCGTTTTCATGTTGCCTGTATATCTGTTGAGGACTCAGGTCTTTGTAGGATTCCGCGTTGGGGTGACAAACCCTAACGTCAAAGAATGCGGACCTTTGTTTCTCCGAAAACCCTCGGGCGTGTGTATCTAGGCGAGCGTTGGATGCTGTATTTGCTCCACTTGGTAAAACTTAACTCTTGAAGAACGGGTTCAACCTCGACATCATTGCAGACGATGTTAAGCATATATCAGCCTCAAGATCTCGCAGCTCGTTGTGGCGCTGTATGATGAACCCACCTCGCTTGCAGATCATTGCGTGATCAATATTGAAAGTATCGCCACACACGCATACTGATGGCTTATCAGCAATTTTCCACTCATATCTCAGCTTTACTGCGTCTCGAAACTCACCCTTGTTCAGATTGTAGTCCATTTCCTTAATGGGGATAACTGTTAGCCAGTTGCATGCACCTTTTTCAGTTGCTAGTTCCATAGTTTCATTGCATAATAATAATAATAATAATGGAAACTTTATTTATTGATTATTAGGATATATACAACTACAATGATAAACCTCGCTTTACAGGTAGTTTATCAATGTCTACTTGAATTGATACTATATATTTATTGTACAATAATTAATAATAATGATAATAATAATAATGGAAACTTTATTGAAATTATATACGTATATATACAATTATAAATCTCACTAATTTAAGTAATTTATAATTGACTACTTGAACCTACTTAATATTTATATATTAATAATGAGTATCCTTAAATGTTCAGTAATTCCGGATTTAACCAGTCCTTATCTCTGCAGCAAAATATATAATATGTTGTCCTAATCGCGATAGACATAATTTTCCTGATAGCGAAATGTAATAATAATAATAATAATAATAATAATAATAATAATAATAATAATAATAATAATAATAATAATAACAATAATAATAATGGAAACTTTTTATTAGATATTTACGATATACTATATATACATTGATAAACCTCACTTAATAAAAGGTAGCTTATCGATGTCCACTTAAATTGAATTTAAAGCTAAAATATATATACAGGTGAAAATCTTTTAAATTTAGTTAAAAGTTTAATAATAATAATAATAATAATAATAATAATAATAATAATAATAATAATAATAACAATAATAATAATGAAAACTTTATTAAATGGATATTTAGCTTATATATACAATTGCAAATCTCACTTATTTAAGGTAATTTACAACTGGCTACTTAAATCACTGATTATATATACAAAAATTATACTATTAAGATAACAAAATGACAGTACAACGTTTAATTAAACACTTAACAGTTCCGGATTCATCCATAGTAATAATAATAATAATAATAATAATAATAATAATAATAATAATAATAATAATAATAATTTTTTTTTTTAAACCTTTACAAATCAATTACATAGCCTGACCCATATAGTCATACATTTATGAGTCCAGACCAAATTTTCCCTAACTACACTTAATAAATAAGACAACAGTTCTCTGAATAATCAGGTCCGTTATCTACACTGTCACACATTAGTAGCTAATAGAAGTTGAGCTTTTCAGGGCAAGACCAGTTCTTATTTCTCTTACAAAATATGTAGAAAGTGGCACGAAGTGCAACCTCCATACATTTTGTTATGATACGATCGTCTTGCAAATTTAACAACCTACATAGCCTACGAAATTGGCCTATACTCTTCGTGACGAAGCCTAGAGTAGTGACTTCCAAAGTTATAACTTTAAATCTATCACACGGTACGAGTAACTGTGATCGCAATGCCCGATATTTTTCTTGTTTACGTCGTCTTGCAATCATGCAGTTCGTTTCATATGGGACAGTCAATTCAATCACATACAAATCTCTTTTATAACGAATCGTAATATCTGGCCTTAACGCTTGAAACAGACTGGACGTACATTTCAAGCCAGAGTCTGGACAATCGGCAAAAATCTCCAGGTCTTCCGACATCACTCTCCTTAAGTGATGAAGAATGGTGTTTAATATAGAATCATGCCTCCACGTATACCGATGTTGTTGTAACGCTACAGGAATGGAAACTTTATTATGGAAATATAAATATAATGGAAACTTTATTAAATGTTTTTCTTTACATACATATACAATCGTAAATCTCTCTCATAAAGGTAACTTACGGTTGGCTATTTGAATCACAATTATACTAAACTAAAACAACAGAACAAAGTGCATGCAATATATATGTACAATGAGATAAGTCAAATTGTTAGTAAATCCGGATTTTCCCATTCCTTATTTCGGCAGCAAAAAATGTAATATGTAGTTCTAATAGCAATAGTCATCATTTTCCTAACGCAGTACATTTGGTGGTTTTTGTCAAGACCAATGCTTTCTAACATGTCTAAAAATGTATAACATTCTTCTGCAAAAATACCTAAAGAGCTGATGGAGAGATTTATAAATTTAACTTGGTTAAAATGTTTACCTAGCTGTCTCAATAATTCTCTATATTTATCCTTCTTCCGTTTTACGTTGTTTTTGAGGTTTGTCTCATAACCAGTGGTGAGTTCAACCACATATAAGGAACCATTTGAGCACGATAATAACAAATCTGGGCGATACGTATCGCCGGTAAGTATTGAAGGGCTTTTGAATCCAGTAGATCAGCGTAGAGAGTAGAGCCGTCAACAGTTTGTAAAGTATGAGCAAGAAAGTTCAGGACTGAATTGTGTCTCCACGTAAATCGGTCGAGATAAAACTGACATCCAGCTACTATGTGTAGTAATGTTTGAGGGCTAAGACAAAAAGAACAGTCTGAATTTGAAGATATTGCCCATCTGTTTAGGTTTTTGCGCGTCGGAAGAGAGTTGTTAATGTAACGAATGGTAAAGTTGTAAATGTTTTTCGGGAGCTTTGATTGGGCGATGGACCACACCTTGTTAAGCTGAGGTAAAGCGAACTTCTTGACGCTGCAGAAAAAGGATCCTTGACTGGTTAATTGGTTTAGGAGTTTGTTTTCGTGTCCAGAACGGAAATCTTTGAGAACTTCCTTAGTAGAGTTATAAGGCGTCATATTGGATATTAGTATGGTTACTGGTTGCTTTCCACAGGTCGTTAGTTGATTCATTAGGAGAAGATTTTAAAGCTTTTCGGAGGACTGTTTGACACTGGATAAATTTTACAGATGGAGAATAAATAATCAGGCCAAATTTTTTATATGTTAGAAAGACAGTACTTAGTGTTCCTGATATTGGTACTTCAAGCCATCTGCGGATATGTTTATTGGCAATAGAATCGATATTTTCAGTAACCCATGTTTTAGAGAGTGTTGCGATGGTAAAGTGCCAAGCTAACTTGGACAAGACGTAGCGACTGTAGAGGAGCAGTTTATTTTTGGGGTGTAGTGGCTTTGAGTCAATATCAGTCATTAGTTCATTAAGTAGGGTTGTTAGTTCAGTTTTATGATTATCATTCGACATGTGGAAATCAAAGTAACGTCCTAAATATTGAAATGATTCTCCAATGGTGGTTTTTGGTATTAGTTGATTGCTGATGAGGAGTTTTGGCAAGTACTGGACTGATTTTGTGATCGCTTTTTTAATGCCAAAGGTACTGCATTTGTCAACTCGGATAATTATATCGGACCATTGGCACCAGATAGAAAATCGATTTAATAGATGTTGGTTTTCGGATTCTTGGCCAGTAATTACAGCCGCGTCATCAGCAATAATAGTAATAATAATAATAATAATAATAATAAAAATAATAATAATAATAATAATAAATAATAGTGAATGTTTAATATACTGTTTTTGAACATAAAGAATTGGTTTAGCCAGAATTTAAACTATTTCAAAAAGTATTTAGGGCCGATAGTTGCATTTTTCGCAAGTGAATAAAAGTAATAAATGTATAAAATGTCCACAATAGATTCAGGTTCGCTAAATCCGGGCATGAAATCTGAGTCCAGGCATAGAATAAAGATCCATGTAGAAGGGCCGCGCGCATGTCGCATTACGCATGTTGGCCGCCATTTTCCTAGCCAGTCAATGACATTTTTTGGCCAATAAACACGCTGTACTGGCTGGCTGCTCCGCCTTCTGGCCAGTAAACTGCATATTTTTGCATAAAAAAACGA